AAGAAAACAAAAAACAAAAAAAAACAGACCCTGCATAAAGAAAGCACTAGGCAAATACTTGTTAAATAGATTCACAGCAGAAAACAGGTCTCTTGGCCTCACTGAAATTATTTGGATACCGGAAAAGGTTTTAAACTCCATTAAATTTGCTTTCATTTCACTGGATATATATCTGGAGACTTGGTTCTCATACAACATTACAAATGAGGGAATTCCCATTCTATGTTTCTCTATTCCTCCCGCTGTCTACTAATACTTCTCAGAGTGCATGCTCTTAATTAGGTACCTTCAGCAGGCTTTCAGAATGTAACTTTATTTAAAATGCAAATAAGTGGCTAGGCACGTGGCTCACACTTGTAATCCCAGCACTTTGGGAGGCCAGGGCAGGTGGATTACCTGAGGTTAAGGAGTTCGAGACCCGCCTGGCCAACATCAAGAAACCCCATCTCTACTAAAAATACAAAAAATTAGCCAGGGGTGGTGGCCTATAATTCCAGCTACTGGGGAGGTGGAGACAGGAGAATTGCTTGAACCCGGGAGGCGGAGGCTGCAGAGAGCCAAGATTGTGCCACTGCACTCCAGCCTGGGTGACAGAGTGAGACTGTCTCAAAAGAGGAAAAAAAATACAAATAAGTACTGGCCAAGAAACTATTTCCATTTAACTTCACATTAGGTAAGAGCTTACCATAATATAATCAAATACATAAAAAAGACTATCAGCTGAAGCAAAAATTTTTGTCATCAAAATCTTCCTTAAATGGCATATGACCTAGAAGCACCTTCCCATAAAGGCAGGCCATTTGCCGGTAAAGCCAAGACAGTACAGGCTAAAGGTTCCCAACTTGTTCCACTGGCAGAGCATTTGCTAATCAGTGTTCTTTGCAGAACATGAAATATTAAGACACATATCCTATCACAGCAGGGACAATGTTAGTAATGACTTTAAAACTTGAAATCAAAACTACAGGAACATGTTTGTAAGAGAAAAACAAAAGTATTAAAAGTCATTTTCCCTTTAATACTTCCATTATCAGCCAGGCATGGTGGCTCATGCCTGTAATCCCAGCACTTTGGGAACCCGAGGCAGGCAGATTGCTGAGCTCTGGAGTTCAAGACCACCCTGGGCAACATGGTGAAATCCCATCTCTACTAAAAATACAAAAAAATTAGCCAGGCGTGGCAGCATGTGCCCGTAGTCCCAGCTATTTGGGAGGCTGAGGCAGGGGAACTACAAGAACCCAGAAGGCTGAGGTGGTAGTGAGCCGAGATCAAGCCACTGCACTTCAGCCTGGGTGACAGGGTGAGACTCCGTCTCAAAAAAAAAAAGAAAAAAAAGAAAAAAAAAGAAAACCTCCATTATCATTGGTTCACTTATTTTACAATCTTTCACTACTCACTAGCAAGTAAACTGAAGCAAACACCAAAGATTTTTTTTTCTACTTTATGGAAGAAAAATAAAATTGAAAAAAAAATGCTTTTTTTTCCCCCTGTGAACTGGGAAAATATCACTATTAAATTTGTTTCATTCACTTATGTTTAATAAGTCCCTGGGCCAAACACCCACGTCTGTCAGGATTCTTCCTAAACAGCCATATGTACTCTTTCCTAAAGAAGATCTGCCTGACAAGGTGCCTGCACACAGTGAGTAAAGCAGGGTCTTCTTTTACACCTCTCCTTTCACAATTGCCCTCCCATTTTACTAAGAAAGGCAGAGATCTCCCACTTATCCTGAAATTCTCTATAGTATACATATGTTGCTCTGAAGTGCAATAAATAAATCCTAGGACACTAAACAAAGAGACAATTATAAATATTTTCATTTTAGTATCTTGCCTCTTCCATCCTCTAGCTGACTGTCCAAAAATATATCCTCCTAAGGGGACAAGCCCATGAAAAGAAAGAGAGAACAATCTTAGTACTCAAAGAGCATGTAGGTGGCTGTTAGGAGCTGAGGGTCTCAGTCCTGCAACTACAAGTTCATGAATTCTGCCAGTGATCACATGAGCCTGGAAAAAGAGCCCAAGCCTCATATGAGACTGCAGCCCCAGCCAAAACTCTGATTTCAGCCTTGTGAGACATAAGCAGAAATCCTAGCTGTGTCTAGACTTCTTACCTATATAAACTGTGAGATAATAAATGGGTATTATTTTAAGTCACTATGTGATAATTTATTATGTAGCAATAGAAAACTAATACAATGAGCCAGACCTGCAGCTCCAAGATTTCAATGAAAATATTTTTAAAGAATATGACTGGCTGGGCGCAGTGGCTCACGCCTGTAATCCCGGCACTTTGGGAGGCCGAGGCAGGTGGATCACAAGGTCAGGAGTTCAAGACTAGCATGGCCAAGATGAAGAAACCCCATCTCTACTAAAAATACAAAAATTAGCCACTCAGGAAGCTGAGGCAGGAGAATCACTTGAACCCAGGGTGCAGAGGTTACAGTGAGCCAACATCATGCCATTGCACTCCAGCCTGGGCGACAGAGTGAGACTCCATCTCAAAAAAATAAAAAAAGAATGTGACAAGATAAAATGCATTTTATCTATAAATATTATCTCAGCTAAGATGTACTGAAATCAATACTTTATTATCCCAATCTTTCTTGGATATATTGGATTAAACAAAGTTCTCTAAAGCCACATAAATTACTTTCCAGGTCCAGTGGTTTCCAACATTTTGCTTTAAACAAAATTCAGGAGAATCCAACTGAGTTGCTGGCTGATAAATCATAAAAAATCATTTTTGTAAGGCCAGGTGCTGTGGCTCATGCCTGTATGTAACCCCAGCACTTTAGGAGGCCGAGGAGGTCGGATCACCTGAGGTCAGGAGTTGGAGACCAGCCTGACCAACATGGAGAAACCCCTTGTTCTCCTGAGGCAGGAGAATTACTTGAACCTGGGAGGCAGAGCTTGCAGTGAGTTGAGACCGTGCCATTGCATTCCAGCCTGAGTAACAAATGTGAAACTCTGTCTCAAAAACAAAAATCATTTTTGAGAATAGATTCACTATATAAACTGAAAAAATATATATAATTTGAAAGAAGTTTAAAAATTAGGTTTGATTACTTTAAATTTTTCCTCTACTTATGTTAACAAGGGCTCTCAGGGCTTACATCTATAAAAATGAAATATAGGAACAGGATTGATAGTGAACCCTGATTCATTCCAGCAAGACCCTGTCTCATTCTAGCAATAAGTAATACTCACCCATGAAATGTGAAGTAACTTTAAAACAATGCAGACAGTTGCATAGATGTTATTGAAATATGCATATTCAATAAAGCTTTATGGTTATCCATTATTTTTCAAAATCCATGTACGTTTCTTTGATCAACTGTGTCCTATTTACAATTCAGCTCAAGTTCTGGGACTGTGGCACACTCTTTTAAGCCCAGCAATTTCGGAGGCCAAGGCAGGAGGATCACTTGAGCCCAGGAGATCAAGACCAGCCCTGACCAGTCTTGGCAACATAGTGAGACTCCATCCCTACAATTTTTTTTTTTTTAATTAGCTAATTGTGGTAGCACGTGCCTGCAGTCCAGGCTACTCAGGAGGCTGAAGTGGGAGGATCGCTTGAGCCTGGGAGGTTGAAGCTGCAGTGAGTCATGATCATGCCACTGTACTCCAGCCTGGGTGACAGAATGAGGCTTACAGTAATAATAATTCAGTTCAAAAGACAGGTTTCAAAGCTTTATGGTCAAAGGGAAAATATTTTAAAATTCAGGATATAGACTTTTTTGTTGTAGAGAAGTATAAATACAAAAGTGGGATCAACGACTTTTAAATCTAAAAATATTATATTAGAATTAGGTAGGGGAATGAAAAAAGTTCACAGAGAAAAAAAGGACAATGTAAAATTTCCAGCTTTTAAAGGCACACTTTTCATATATATTTTTGGAATATGATGGTGGATATCAATTTATTTTGGTATTTAAATTCCATTCGGCACATTTAAAAGATTGATGGAACTGTTTTTTTTAAAACCTCAGTATTTATAACATATGAAATTATATCTATTGCAACTATTTAAATGTAAGATGAAAATTTCTAGATGTCAGCATAAAAATGTGCAAGTTTTTCAAAATTCTTTTGGGGATACACAGCAAAAAAAGTTAGAAAACTCCTAATTTAGGATAAAGAATCAAGTAGATTCAGTGATGAAAAGATGTTAGCCTGGCATGAGAATGAAGGGAAGAATAATACCTAGGTTTCTAGCTTGAGGACTGGATATACCATTTATATTACAGATACAGGTTTACGGGAGAAAATAACAAGCTTGGTTTGGGTTATACTCTGAACATTGATGAGGGACTGTCCAGGAAGCAGGAGGATGTAGCAGTTTTAGAAAGGCTGCAGAGAAGATCTCTCCTACAAAATGATGTTTGACTACAGGACCTAAGGGAGTTTAAAAGGACCAGCCACATGATTATCAGAGGGAAGGGTGTTTCAGGCAGAAAATTCAGAAGTACAGAAGTCCTAAGACTAAAACACGTCTATGTTATAGAAACAAGAAAATCAGCATAGGGCAGAAGCAGAACAAATAAGGGACAGTATTAAAGAGGCCAGAGAGGTAAAAGCGGGAGTGGGGGGGCAGCCCCAGACTGCAGAGGGCCTAGTAAGCCATTGGGAGGACTTTGACTTTTATTCTGAGAAGCACTGAGAGGGTTTTGAACAAAGGAGTGAAATGATCTCACTTATCTCTATTGTGTTTGGGGGAAAAAAACTTAAATAGGGCAAGAGTAGATGAGCAGAGACCAGTTAAAAAGATATTTCAATATTCCAGGAGATTGGTGATGATCACTTGGTTCCACTGGGTAAGTCAAAAAGTATAAAATGGTGACTAAATACAGTTCTAGTCTGAGGTAGAGCTAAAAGGATGTGCTGACAAATTTAGATGTGTGGTATGAAAAAAAAAAAGACAATATTCAAGAATAACTTAAGATTTTTAGTTTGAGCAACTGGAAGGATGGAGTAGCCATTTATTAATATGTGAACCACTACAAAAGGAACAAGTTTGTGGGGGAAGAAAAGGAGTTCAGCATTGGTTGAGATGCCTGTATGGAAATATCAAGTAAAAAGTTGGCCGGGTGTGATGGTTCATGCCTGTTAACTCAAACACTTTGGGAGGCTGAGGCAGGAGGAACACTTGAGCCCAAGTGCTGGAGACCAGTTTGTGCAACACAGTGAGACCCTGTCTCTACAAAAAGTGTTTTAAAAATTAGCAGGGTGTGGTGGCACACTCCTGTAGTCCCAGCTATCTGGGGACAGGTCGGGGCGTGGGGGCTCAGTTGGGAGGATCATTTGAGCCTAGAAGGTTAAGGCTGTAGTGACCTGTGATCTTGACACTGCACCCCAGCCTGGGTGACAGAGTGAGACCCTCTTTCAAAGAAAAAGTTGAACATCCATGTTTAAGAAAGATGTCTGAGCCAAAAATATAAATTTGGTAATTATCAGATATAGATGATACGTAAAGCAATGAGGCAGGATGAGATCTCCAAGGGAGTATGTGTAAATAGAAATAGAAGTCTAAAAACTGGCCAGGCGTGGTGGCTCATGCCTGTAATCCCAGCACTTGGGGAGGCTGAGGCAGGTGGATCACAAGGTCAGGAGTTTGAGGCCAGCCTGGCCAACTCTACTAAAATACAAAATAATAATAATAATAATAATAATAGCTGGACATGGTAGCACATGCCTGTAATCCCAGCTATTTGGGAGGATGAGGCAGAAGAATTGCTTGAACCCGGGAGGTGAAGGTTGCACTGAGCCAAGATCGCACTACTGCACTCCAGCCTGGGTGACAAAGCAAGACTCTGTCTCAGAAACACACACACACACACACGCACACACACACACACACATACAAATGGGCTCGGTGGAGGTCAGAAGGTTGTAGTCAGGAAGATGAGGAAGAATCAAGGAAAGGGGATTTAGAAGGAATATTTAGAAAAAAAAAACTCTGAAAGCTTGAAGTTCTTCTGGAAGCCAAATGAAGAAAGGATTTCAAAAGAAGAAAGAGATCAACTGTCAAATGCTGCTAATAGGTCAGTTAAGAAAGAATTACAAGATGCTTTTTATGTAAGAAGTAGTGTTTCACAGGCAAGTAGCTCACTCCTATAATCCTGGAACTTTGGGAGGTCAAGGCTGGAGGATCATTCGAGTCCAGGAATTTGAGACCAGCCTGGGGGACATACCAAGACCCTGTCTCCATAAAAAAAAAATAATAAGAAGAAGAAAATTAGGTGGGTACAGTGGCACATGCCTGTAGTCTTAGCTACTTGGGAGGCTGAAGTGGGAGGATCATTTGAGCCCAGGAGTTGGAGGCTGCAGTAAGGCTATGATCATGCCACTATACTCCATCCTGGGTAGCAGAGCAAAACCCTGTCAAAAAAAAAAAAAAAAAAAAAAGAGAGAGAGAGAAAGAAAGAGTGTTTGAGTTTACAAAATGACTTAATGCAGAAAAAAACTGGAGTACAGAAAATGTAAAAGAGTTAATACTAGCCCTCATATCTAGATCTTGATGTTATTTTCATTTATTTGTTTCATTTCTACATGTTAAAATGTGAGGTGTGTAATACTTTATAGAATTGAAAAAACTTTGTACTATCATATACTTTATGTAAAAGAAGAAAAGAACTTTTTTATAAACATGGGGTCTCACTATGTTGGCCAGGTTGGTCTTGAACTCCTAGCCTCAAGCGATCCTCCCATCTCAGCCTCCCAAAGTGCAAGGATTACAGGCATGAGCCATCGCACCCAGCCCATGGAAGTAAAGAGTTTTAGATTAATTTTTAATAATGAGCTCATGCTAAATCCGACAGTTACATTAAAATTCCTTTCTAATTCAAATATGGTGGATATAATCAAACTACTGTTCCCTTGAAAGAGATTTCATGGTTAATATAAAAGACATATACTTGATTCATGTCAAGTGGTAACACAGGTAATTCTTTGAATACTCAGCATAAAACCCTTTAATGGGATATTATTGTTCCAAATATACCATACCAAAGTTACACTGAAAATAGAAGGCTACTAAATCATGGCTGACAGGGAGCCAAGTACAGCAAGTTAAAGTACATTCCTACCACTCATCTAGTTCTGGCTGAACTCTTCAGGTCAGTTTGGGTCATTATTAGTTTAGAATAATTCCAAAAGACTCCTTCAAGTTCTACTGTTATATTCAGTGGCTCTAGGAAATCCAGAACGGCCTGTTCTGGATTGTTCATGTCACAAAAATCACAAGATCTCTTATTAGTTTTTGGCTTTGCCTTGAAGTAATCTTTTCAAAATGCAATTCTGATCAAGTTTATCTAATTACTTTGCTATGTAAATGAGAACCCAACAGGACTTCCTGTTCTCAGGTAGAGACCTTAACTCAGTGTACCTACAGTCTACCATACTAGCTTCATCTACTTATTCTCCTTGTTCTTTAAAACAGGTCATTAAATTCAGAATCTGAGACCTATTCAAAACAAAGAAACAAATCATATTCTTACTTTCCCCTCAGCCACAAGTCCTTTTTTTCCCCTTTGTTTTGTTAATTCCTAATGATCTTTCAGATAGTTGTTTAGTTCCTTATTATCTTTCTGCCACAGTCATTTAGAGCCCAAGCTTTATGACGGCAAGGGCTCTGCTACATCTTCGGTATCAAGAACAGTGTTTGCGGCCAGGCGAGGTAGCTCACACCTGTAATCACAGCACTTCAGGAGGCCAAAGTGGGAGGATCGCTTGAGCCTAGGAGTTCAAGACAAGCTGGCACAGTAATATTAATATATTTGAATATATCATCCAGAAAGAAGCATAAATGTTGCTTTCTTAAAGCCTTCTTTGACTCTTGCATATCAATGACACCAGTTATATTTTCTCAGGTCACCCTATACTTTTCTTGTGGGCCTCAGGAAAGATCCAGTGCTATCTTCTAAAATACTTCTCAAGAGACATTGGTACAAAGGCAGAAACACTAGGATCTCAGTAGAATTTCACAAAACCATTGTTAAATTAAATCCCCTACCGTTCTTTTTCCTTGCCCTAGACTGCTATTAATTAACCCAGACATTCTCTCACACACCTCTTGCCTTTTAGATATCTAAGAGCAAATTGTCATTGGGTGGGGAGGTCGATATTTAACCTGAATCTAACTGGACTCAGGAACAAAGTAATTCAACCAATTCTGTCTAGTTTTCTCTGGCATTTATAACTACAGCTGGCAAGACAACAGCTATATTCTTTTCTATGGCTAGGCTGGTGAAAAACGCCTTACAGAAAAGACATTCACAAAAGAAATTATCAGGGACTGTAAAATTTGATAAAATGATTTTGAGGCCTATTTCCCATATGAAGAATGCTGATCTATCTCAGCATACAATCAAATAGCATATGCACATAGTGCCAAGGCATTTCAAAGACATAGGTAATAAGCTGCATTTACAAATATATATACCATGCTCTTTTTTTCTCCAAGTAACATGATAGCTTCAATGATCTTGGGGAGCATTGGTAAAGACAGTTATGTTCTTGGCTCTTTTAGGGAAGATACATAATTTAGCAGTAATGTTAACAATCCATGTATTATACATTAGTATTATCATTTCATTCTGCTTTATAGCTCTTGGTTTTTAAATGCCCTAGGTGAGGTTCTGTTTTAAAAGTTAAATAACAAACAAAAGGCTAAAGAACACCACATTTCTATTTCCAAAATTATTTTTCCATAAATTTACTTGTCCATCTCTGTGTTTTTCTTTCTTTTTTTGAGACAGAGTCTCGCTCCGTCACCCAGGATGGAGTGCAGTGCAGCGGCATGATCTTGGCTCACTCTAACCTCCGCCTCCTGAGTTCAAGCAATTCTCCTGTGTCAGCCTCCCAAGTTGCCGGGATCATAGGCAGGTACCACCACACTTGGCTAATTTTTGTATTTTTATAGAGATGGGCTTTTGCCATGTTGGCCAGGCTGATCTCGAACTCCTGACCTCAGGTGATCTGCCCACCTCAGCCTCCCAGAGATCTGGGATTATAGGCATGAGCCACCTCGCCCAATCCCATCTCTGTGTTTCTATGTAATGCAATGAATACTTGATGTTGCTTTTTTAAAAATCCCTTGTGTTTCCAATGCTGAATATATATATAATATATATATATCCAGTTTTCATAAAAATTAGCCAAAACTGGAAAATTAGCAAAAGAGAATACTGGGTGTATTTCAGTGCAGTGTATGCTTGAATCTTTTATTAATTTCTATTGACTGAGCTATTTTACACATCTATAAGATTAGGTTACAAATTTTTGGCAGATAGAGATGCAAGTAATTTTTAGCTAGAGGAAAAGACAACTCAAAGCCTACTCTTTTATGTTTCTTGTAGAATATTAATTAATTCTTCATGTAGCCCAGCAGTCTAATCTTAATACTCACTTATTAAATTGTCCATAAATACCTACCTCCTCAAATTTTCATATTAAATGACTTTAACATCTTACCAGTTCCCTCATTAAGTAATGAACTCAACCAAAATCACTGATACATGTTCATTTATATTTGTATGGAAGTCATGACTTTACCTTTCTGAAAATTGCATTTTAACAGTTTTGGAGGTCCCACCAAGATGTCCAAGTGGACTAAACTGACAGAGCCAAGTAAACTACATTGCTCCTTTCACAGACACACAGATATCCCTTACAGAAAGCTGAGCTCAGAACTGCTATCTCATTTACATAAACCAAAACCTCAATTTTTAGAATTTTTGGTTTAGATGGTATACACCTTTGGAAGGGCCTTTATTTTATCTTTGTTTTCTTACAATCCAGCATCATGCCAAGTACCTAAAATGTGTATAATAATGGTTAAGTGAATTAATGAAGCTAGAATACACCACATGTACAAGACAACAACTACTGAAGGAGAGAGAGATTCCAATCAAATCCTAGTAGTCTTTGTAACTAACTATCTAGGCAGCTAGAGGAAGGAAGTTCTAGATGCTCTGAATGTGAAGATAGAGGCTCCCCCAAAATGGTAGAAATTCTCATTGTACAAAGAGAAGGTGGCTGACACATATCAGAATTTAAAACTTCCTGCAAAGAAAGAGTGAACCTTTAGCTCCCTAAGAGCTACAGTTCTTAGCAGGCACTACAGACCTACAAGTTGCAATGTCCCAAATATCGCAAAAGTAAACATAATCTTAATTACTTTCACCAAAATTTTTCCAAAAATATTTTTTAAAATTTCCATAGGAATGTACTTCAATTCTATCCTAACAGTAAGTTAATAAATAGAAAACGTTTTCTGAATTCACCTCAAAAGACCAAATTTTCTTAGATGTATTTATTTCATAATCAAGAACGTACCAGAACTGTGGAACATAACATATTATCTACAAGGTACTTCAGTTCCAGGAAA